TGGTTTGTGTTGGTTTGTGTTGGTTTGTGTTGGTTTGTGTTGGTTTGGGTTGGTTTGGGTTGGTTTGGGTTGGTTTGGGTTGGTTTGGGTTGGTTTGGGTTGGTTTGGGTTGGTTTGGGTTGGTTTGGGTTGGTTTGGGTTGGTTTGGGTTGGTTTGGTTTGGGTTGGTTTGGGTTGGTTTGGGTTGGTTGGTTGGTGGGTTGGTTGGTGGGTTGGTTGGTTGGTTGGTTTTGTTTGTTTGTTATGTCATGAAATTTGAAAACTGTCAGGAAGTGTCACCTGCAAGACTACCACAGCAAATACCACGGTTGCCAAGATTCTGCTGCTGCTTCATTGACGCCTGAGCTGTGTAAACCACTTGGCCGTTTCCACATCAAAAACAAAAAGCAAGCGTCAAAAATGTCCACCTCAGCGAGCCACGGATAATCGTTCCATCCCCGAGGAATGTCACAACAGGGACGTGCACCAGCTTCACAATGGTGTCGAAATCCTTTCTACTCTGATGCAGTACAAAGTAGAAAGCCCAAAGACGTAAACAACAATTTCTGAGCATAGTTTTGAACGGTCAAACAGCCATGATTTATATAATTTTCATACAACCATGGCTGCACAGGCCGTCCTTTTTCACGGAAACAGCCTCGCCATACCAGCGATGGATCAATTGAGAGTCCTCAGCAGACCGAATCAAGGCCAGCAGCGCCCCTTGAAGCACCTGAGCATGTCCGAGCACATCAGTCACGTTCCCGACCTTGCCGCACTGCAGCAACAAATGCTATCAACATTTAAGAATAAAAGGGAGTTTGGTGCCCTCCCGACGAGTGCCATGATGGGGCGGCATATTTGGGCACGCCATGTTTTGGGCACACCGAAGCAACAGTTCACGCTTCGAGCGGCAATTAGGTAGCTGAATGTTCGTCCTTGCTATGGTTTTCCCACGCAAGCATAGTGTGAGGCATATTACAGTAGGCAAGTTCAACTTGAGGTGAGAAACCAATCCCACAAGCACAACGTGTTCACACAGAGGCTTGTCCACCCTATGACACGCACAGAAGAATCTATCCACCGGATGGCTCCCAGTGGCGAAGACTACCTTAAAACTCCAACTAGAACACCACCTTTGTTGATCACAAGCTAAGCTTGCTGAGCTTACTTAATCAATCAAACAACATGTCAGCTGTGGACCTGAGTGCGCCCACACTTCATGAGCTAAAAACCCATCGCTTCACAACGAGCTCGCTTCCCAGCAAAAAGATCCATAGAAGACAGATCAACCAACCACTCAGAACAAAGAGCCCTCTTCGCATCTCTTCCTCACCAGTGCCTCAGGGTGGGTCCTCAGGGTGGGTGGGTTCGGTGGCTCTGACCTGGCGTGCTTTCTCTTATCCAAGAGATCTCACCAAAATGGCCAACATGAAAAGTTCAATGATCGATCCATTGAAATGCAGAATCAACTGAACAGCTCTTCCAAAAGGTTCCACCCACGTTCCAAACACACCTGGTATATAATAATCATGAGCAAGGCTTCAAAGAAACATCTCGCTTGTTGATCACAAGCTTGTTCGTATGATCGCTTTACAATCACATCAGCTACGGACCTGGATGAACAACACACTTGCCCAAGTTCACGCAGGCATGAGGCAAGCGGACTCAAAGAAAGCGGGGAGCCTTAGACGGATCCATCTCTTTGTACTTTTCACGAGCTGCTCGCTCCCAAGTTACAAAAGGTCCATGGAAACAAATCAACCACTCAAAACAAAGAGCCCTGAACTACCTCAGGTCCCTCACCTAGAAAAACACCAACAGTCAAGCTGGATAGGACTGCAAGCCAGAGGGCAACCAAGCGGACAACGAAAGCGATCCAACTATCGATGCTCAAGGGTAAGGATCGCCCACCCCGCCATCTGAGCAGGTGTAAGGCGATGAAAGACCGTATATAACCGCACCATGTGGCCAATGTGGCCTCCAAGCCACATCTTAATGTCTAATTGGGTCAACGATCGGCCACACCTGGAAAACATGCCAAAATGCTGAAGACCTCTCTTGCCAGAGCGTCCCAGGCACCTTCCACACGATCCAAAGGCCGTTAAGTGATTGTGAGGTGACTCACAGATTGTGAGCCCAGCTCCCCCAGGTGCGGCTAAACACATCGACCTCGACGACCTTGTCTTGCAGGCTCCTGTTGTCTTCAAGATGGCTCGTTAGCATATGTGTAAAGTCCACAAGCTGCTGGCTGAACTGCTGCCAAGCTGTGGCTACTGGTGCCTAGCTCAACAGCATTCCCAGCCAGGCTGGCCTCTTGGTTGAAGCGGCCCTCGGGTCCGGCTTTTGGTGAGAAGCCCCGCTTGTTTAAGAATCAGGCCCCGGCAAATCTGGCTACACTCTGTTCCACGAGGCAGTGACAAAGTGAATCATCCCAAGGGCTGCTGGCGTTCAAAAGCTGGCATGGCTCGAGGCAACGCGTCCAGGCCCTACAACCACAAGTATTCAAGCACGGTCTGCTTCTGACCTGGCACGCTCTCTCTTGGGCAACAGACTTCGCCAAAGTGGCAACTTGCCAAAGTGACAAGAATTAGAAGTTCAACCAGCGATCCGTTCGAAACCCACCTATACAATCGTAAACATGAGCACCATGGCAAGATCCAAAAGAATGCAAAACCAAAAAGCACCAAAAATTGTTCTGGGGCACTTTCACAGTGGAGTCACAGTATGCGTAAATCACCTGCTCAGCAGACATTGATAGAATGCCAACGCGTCCAGCCATGAAGACGCAGGAGTAGAGGAGGAAAACCACAATTCTAGGCTTTTGCGAGATTCATCACAACAGCGGCGGGAACTCCTAGCGGTTACAGCAGTTGCTAAGAGCTGCAGTGAAGTGCACAATGACTCATATCAGCTGAGTTGCTGGTACAATAGCATACCGAACTTCACCTTGTAGAGTCTTGCATGTCTGCATTGCCTCAATGAATGAAGGCTCTTGCAAGTGGCCCTTTCTACAACTGCGTTGGGAGTAGCTCCAACAGAGCAACAAGTGCAGACTGGAACTCAATTTCTGCAATGCTTGCATCGCCTCAGTAGCCAGTAGCCAAGGAACTGGGACAAATAGAGCTGGTCTGCCAAGGGAAGGAAAAGCCCAACTGCACTAACAAATGTCAATAGCCACCTGGAGGGAACAAGAAACATCACAAAATAGAAAAAGGAAAGCGAAAGCTTGTTGCTGCTTGATGCAACCCACCTCAATACTTCAGTCATGTGCTCCCCTGTCATGATAATGTAAACGGTTTATATGACGAGAACGCTGAAGTAAGCCAAGAAAGCATGTCCGGTTTACCTGGTTTCTGTCTAAGACATGTTGAAGACAAGAGAAGACTTGTTGGCTGCAGAGATTGGGCCCAGCAGGCCCTGGAGGTGCTGTATTTCTGTCTGAGGGGGTCTGGTGTCTTGTTTTCAAGCCTGGGTATGTCCAGACCGTGAACAAATCCGAAGCTAAGTCAAAGCTCGAAGGAAGGGACTCTATTTGCCTTCTGGGAAGAGCGCAGACATCCTTCCGGACACTCACTACCCTGAAATCTTCTATGCAAAAAGAATGCAAACAAGACCTTTGTGATTTACATTGGGATAAGCAAGTGGCGGCCAAGGCTGCTGAAAGTAAACATATCAAAGAAACTTACAGAAGAACAGGCAAGAAAAGACAACTGAAGAAACGTATGTATCCAGCAAATGAAACAACTATACAAAAATAGATTGAATAGATTGAACAAAAGCGTGCAGGAACTGGATCGAAAACATACATGAAAAAAACATAAGGAAAGGGCGCAAAGATTATATTGTAACCGCGGAAAGGCAATCAGAAGCAAAAAACATATAGACGTGACAGCAGCGAAACGAAGAAAAGGCGGAAGGGAATGAGGGAGACAAGAGACTAGTTCAGGAGAGCAATTAGCGGGCGACACAAAGCGAAGGCGAGCGACTGTTGAGAAAGGAGCGAACAAGCAACAAAAAGTAGATCAAAGGACAAACAGGAAAAACATGGAGAAACAACACCGCTTTGAAGGGCAAAACATGTCCACGCAGTGCAACGCAGGTGAAAGTGTTCTGCGATTTGTGCGTCCAGTGTGTTACTCTGGCTGAGCATGCGTTTCTACTTCTAAAGGGTTTTTGGAACTGCACAAGCAACCAGGATAGGTGTTAAAAACAAAAATGTTGTGAAAGGTGTGCACACGCAATGTTTGTTACGAAGTCTGCGGGCGTCAGAACTTGTAAACACCTCCCAAACAAAGACCCCGCAAAAAAATCCACAAACATATGCAAAACTTTCCCACAGGCGTCGAAGAACCAAAACCTGAATATGTCACAGGGGTGATGGAAAAGGTGGCACGTTGTTGGGAGGCCAAAAATTCGTTAGGCAGGACTTTGGCCAGCATTGAAATACCGCTTTCAAAAGTTCAGCCTGAATGAGGACACTGTTGTTGTCTCCATGAGCCAACACAGCCACACACTCCAGAAAGTGACCACAAGAGCAGGCACGCTTCGTAGAATCCTCAGCAGTCACGGAATGACGGAATATGTGGAATCACTCACTCATGAGAGCATCAGACGCTCCACAACTTGCTGCGCAGTTAGCTAGTTGGCAAGTGTATTGAAAAGGCAGGCGCCCTCGACGATCACCTTGCGATTTCTCCAAGCTGCGTTGTTCGGACACCCAACTCGGCCAGGAACGCACGATTGCTAATGAGGATCAGGACTGGGACTGCAACTGACCACCTTGCAAAGAAATGCTGCAACCGCTTGACCTGCAAGCCTGTTTGCGGGCAATAACTGCACAAACGGCACCTTGCACAAGCATATATAGACAATAGTTATATAAGATTATATAAGTATGATACAGAGTTTCAAAAATTTTCTTCATCCAACAAAATGTTAAGTCTTGCCTGTTGCAATCAGGGCTGCTCTTAGCATAAGCTGCCCGACGCAAGCCCTGGAACCAATTTGGGACACAAAAGTGGCGAACAACCGTTTGCCACTTGAGTCGCTTCAGCCAAACTTGGTCGGCAAGGTCATGCTCACTCGTGGCCACACATGAAGTCCTGCAAGCCTGGCAAACTCGACCGCCGGTTCTGAAAGCTATCAGGCCTGGATGGCGGTGCGTCGATGCAACACGCCAGACCTTGTGCCTACCAGATGAGACCAGTCCAAATTCCAAGCTACTCTTCTACAATCGTAGCAAGGCAGGGTTGCCAGCGCTACTTTCCAGTAGATCCTTCTTTTCCCTCTTTTGGCACAGAGCATCTTGCCAAGCAAATGCACTGCGCCGTCTGTTGCAGCGATGTCATGCGAGGCCTGGGGGATGGCAACCTTTTGAAGATCCTCGGCTGCCTTGCTTTGGATTGACTTGGGTGTTCCATGGCAACCCTTTACTAAAGGGTCGGTGCGCTGAAGTGCTTCATGTGACACCATAGTCCGAACCCAGGTTAATCCGAAAGATCTTGTTCATGCGACAAAGGTTTGGGCTATGTCTGGGGGCCCCCCACAGTTGTCCTAGAAGCCGGTTTGCTCCACATCACTTTTGAACAGGGTTTCGAACAACTCTTGAGTCGACATTGCTTCTGTAAACAAGACATGACATAGCCTAACGACGCCATGTCTGTGTCAGTAGTTGATCTTGCTGCTCTGCGAAATCTGCCAACTGAACAATAGGTCACAAGGATTGGGCTAGTGTGTTTGCTTTCGAAGGACGGGTCTTTGGCACACCTGATCATAAGAAGCTTTTGCAGGAGCTATCCTTGGCACCGATGCAACCTTCAATGGGACAATCTTGGGACTGCTTCTGACTTCCCCTTTGGCGGGTCTTTTGCGCTGCCACCGCTTTCGTGTCGCCGGGCCAGGCTAAGGTGTCTTGCGGGTTCACTGACATGGCCTTTGAGCCTCCACCTCATGTCTAATCACATCTTCAAAGGTGGAAGGTTCCTTGGAAACACTCGGGCCTGGTGGCTGTCGCCAAGAATGACACTCTGCAGCGGTCAGCCTTGAGCTTGGCCTAACACTTCCAGATTTTCCTCCTCCGGGAACCTTTTAAGATGCGCCTCTTCTCGCTCCTCTCCTTTGGCTTGGGCAGCGGACGAAATTTATGGAACCACCTCGGGACGCTAAAGCGGCGAACACCTCTTTTGCCACTTGAGCCAAATTGGTCAGTAAGGTCGTGCTCATGCTTTGCCGTTCATAAACTTCCCTTCACCTGGCGGACCAGACCATTCCAAGCTACTCTTCTGCAGTCTTAGAGGATTGGTGACACTACATTCCAGGGAACCTTCTAAGAGTCCCCACAGAGTGCACCCATTCGAGGGGTTCAAGGTGAAGGGAGGGATGCACAAACTTACAAGGACTGTTACCAGGCGCTGTGGTTGTCTATATATATATATATAAAGCATGCGGAAATGAATGCAGGCAAATTGCGGCCTGGCGACTGTGCAAAACGAGCAAAAAAAACAGGCCGATGACCACCATGGGCCCACAGGTCTGTGTGAACAGGACCTCCATTATGCCAAATGTACATCCTTGGTTCCGATTCACTTGAAGAACGTCAATTTCGAGAATGCCTTTTTGAGTTCAGCCATGCCTCCCGGTTACAAACTTGATCACGTACTCAAGAAGTGTTAGCATCGAGTCCAAGAGCCCTCGGCGCAGAAACAGAGCCCAAGCAATATTGTAATTCCCAATGATTTCACACAGCATGTCTGCAATATTGTCCTCCCAGCTCTTGATGAGCGTCGATGATTGATTAAGCTCTTCTCAAGGTCAGGCTGGCCAGAATTGGAAAATACAAGACCTCATACACACTATCTAAAAGAAAAAATTAGTTTGGCACGAAATGAGACACAGCCAGTATCATGCTTCCACCCGAAAACAAATGCGAAACTCTGGCTCAGGCTGCCACCATTCCACAAGAAGCCAGCTTCCAGCACAAAGGCGGAGAAAACCAACATAACTGCCTGTCACTCTTTTTTTGTAAAGGGGGGGTTGGCCAGTAGAAGAGGTGAGGTAGTAGCTAGAGGGAGTCGCTTGTACCTTACTAGTATGCTACTACGTATGGACGCAGGATAGCTCACACTTCTTCAAGGAAGATACCCCGCCCCCTAAAGGCGGCGGGGGGGAGCTTCGTTGAAGAAGCGCTCGCACTATTCATTTGGTTCCTAGATTATTGGGTTATTGGGAAAAACTTAAACTTAACTGATGACATTCAAATCAAAACATAAACGATCCAAGGTGCCATTCCACAATGAGATTCGACTGCTTGCAGATCAGCAGTGTATACAGGCGACAGACCTAGCCCGTTCAATGATCCCAGCTGCCGGATGCCCTATCTGTTAAATTGCCAATTCACTTTCCGCCCAGCCTCCAACGTAGAACACATACGTGAAAACGACTGCAGAAACCAAGGTCCAGATATTGCAAAGGACCTAAGACAATCCGATGACAAGAAGCTCTGTTCTGTCAAAGCCTTGGAATATTGCTAAATCTGTGAATAGTTTGCAGGTACCAGTCTGTTTGATATCATGTTGAAACCATTAAAGGTTTAAACATAGAGATTGATAAAGAACACAACAAACGTGATGAGAACGTGTAAAAAAAGGTAAAATACTTACACGTGTTTCCGTCCTTTTGTTCACCTTGGTTTCACCTTGTGTCACCTTTGTCCAAACCCCTGGTTCATCTTTAATTGCTTTAAGGGTTTCCTTAAAATACCTAGGATCCCTTTTCGCAATGCTAAATAATGTTGACAGCTGCAAGCTAGCTACTATATATAACTCTATGTGTATATATATACAACTAATCATTACTATATATATAAAGAATAAGCAGCACCTTTTCTCGTATTCGCTCTGCAGCAAAAGTGTCACAAACAGTAAAACTTGGGAACAAAAAAGAAACTCCCATCACGAAAGATTGTCCCCCCCCTTCTTGGTCCACAACACAAGAAGGGGGCGTATCCGGACAATCATCCCCCCCCAGTCAGGCGGGCCACTCCCCTGTCCCTGACTGGGCCCCAAGGGATACCAGCGTTTCTTTTTCACACTCTTTTCGCTGGTCTTTTGGAAACTTTCGTGTTCCTTCCACGTCCCCCTAGGCCTCGTTTCGAGGACTGCCTGTTGCTTTGCAACGGCTCAAGTGTTTCAAAATCTCTAGGGGTCGCATTCAAGAAAAATTGTCGGTAAGGTGCAATGGTCTTCTCCAAGGGTCCCAGGTGCATTTCTGCCAAAATGGCTCTGGATTCATTAAGGTACATGCGGGCGGTTTTTTGCGCTTGCCAGCGTCCAAGAACCATAACTCGGTCAAGGTTCCCGTGCGAATGTTGGAAACTTGGATCGACCTTGGTCCAGCCCTTCTGTACGCTCTCCTCCCAGGGCGATTCCCCGATTAGCATGAGCTCGCGCTTGTCCAGGTCAATGATGTCCTCATTGGGCTGCAATTCCCAGGATAACCAGTACAACCGAGGTCTGTTGCACCAGGTCAGGCTCCCTGCATCGCAGCGCCAGGGTTCATCCCCGAAAGAGCTTGACATGACCAGCTTGTCCACCTCGTCCATGGATGCCACACTTTCCATCAATGTCTGGACTTGTGCCCAAACAAAATATTTCTGAACCAGTGCCTGTATCCGCTTTACGTGGATGAACAAACCTGACCTTTCGTCTCTCAGCGCGCCTTTGCGTTGGCTGTTCAACCCTGAAACTCCTTGACAGGGCGGTCCCGCCCCGATCAGCACCAATTCAACTTGCCCGTAAGTCAGTGCCCACGCTTTGACGTCCTTCTCTTCGATCTCGACAACATCAGGGTAGCGCATAGTCCCCGGAAAATGGTGCTCCACCACGCGACGAGCGCCAGGGTCCTTCTCCACCGAGATATGCCCCGCCACATCACAACCAAGGAGGTCAAGCGCCACGCGCAAGCATCCTATTCCGTCGAAAAGGCCAATGCTCAGGATGCGCCCGCCTCGACTTCCCTTCATTTCACCTGAAACCGAACCTGCTGCCACTTGCTCACCGAAGCGTGTCAGGCCGACTGCGGAACATACGCCTCCACCATGTTCTGAAGCATCACTACAAGTGACCCTGGGGTTCAAGTCCATGCGGAAGCTCATCCTGCGCAGTGGCACCAAACACAAGAACCAGCGAATCTCTAGCTTGACGCTCTTCGGGATAGGGAGCCGGCGACGACCTCGTACATTGAACGATTCTATAAAGGCCCAGCATGCGTTGAGCCCACCTAACAGCTGGCGCCGAAAGGTGGAGAAGTAGACAAGTCCACCACAGACTACCTGCATCTGTCGCTGTGTGGCCATGGTCTCCTCCATGAGCTGGTATGCGATCGCGACATACTTTGATAACTTTTGCCCCTTAGGGTACGCCACTGCGCCCTGGACCTCTGCAACTGCTTGCCGGCTCACTGCCTTGCCGGGGTGCCGTGGTAGCCCCCAGGCCAAGTACTCCGCAGAGCGAGGATCTCAGGGGCCTCCTCCCCCGATTTCTACAACAACGTTTCACGAGGGTATTTCTCCAACAAGTCATAGTTGTCCAGGTAGACCCTCCAGACAGTTTGGCCATCCGGCAAAACTCTGTCTTTGCGAATCTCGCACCTCTCTGTGTTGCGACTTGAATTGTGCTGCTGAAATCGTAGGACCAGTGTACGGTGTACATGTTGCGCGATCCCTACGCTGTTGAGGAAACCCATCGGCAACACTTTTGAACAGGGATAGCACACCTCACCCCGCATCTCTGGTGGCACCAGAGCGGCTGGAAGCGGTTTGTTGAAGCACAAATACGGGTACCATGGGGTAACGTTTGTATGTCTCCCGCCATCCCTTGGCACAGCTCGTTGAGTGGCACCAGATTCATGATGAGGCGGTAGACAGGTACTCCCTGGGCTTCTTCATGTTTTTCAACCCTAAAAAGCCCGTTGAGCAATAGTTTGGAGTTCACCCGGAAGACTTCCGACTCAGGCACCATCCCAAATACCCCTGCTTCAAGCAAACCTTGCGCTACTCCAAACCAGTCAGCGTCCTTAACCATAACCCGGGCCTTCCGCACAGGGCCCCACTCACTGGGCGGCTTCAAGAAGGATGGGAAATTCTCAACATAGTGTTTGCATCCTAGCTCACAGATATCTACCAACTGTGCCACCCCAATCTTCTTGGGCAGCGCCGGCCTAATGTTGTCCCAACAAAATGTCAAGGCCGTCTTCACCTCATCCCCCTTGTAGTCGATCGTACGGGTCCGGAAAAAGTCCCCCCAATCAAACGCCTCGGTCACCTCGCTAATGTCCTTGAGCCTAGTCACTTCGGCTGCCAAACCCCGGACAATCCGGGCCTGCATTTCTGAAACTGCTGATGCACCTTCTCCTTGTCCATGTTCCTGGGACACGGGTTGTGAACACCCCCATAACGAATTCAAAGCGATGCAAATTGCACAAAGCCAATCAACTGTCCATGCGTCTTCACTTAACACGATTGGGGCCACGAGCTCACGACGGGTCGGAAGAGGAAAAGTGCCAGACGGAGGTGATTCTTCCCCTCTTGGTTTTCCCCCCCCCCTAAACCTGGCTGCAGAGCGATATAGACCCTCGTAGGCTCTGCCCCAAAGTCAACCCCATTTCCCAAAGCTGCATGCCCATCACTCCTTTTTTCGAACCCTCACGGTCCGAGGGCTTGCGCCCCGCTTTCATCAGGGATTGGTCCGGCTGTGACGGATGACTGTACCCCGTCAGCCCAACTGGCATCCCTTTGGGAAAATCGCTCCAAACTCCCGGTGGGTATGATTCATCCACCTCTGTTTGATACAGGGCTCGGGTCCCCGTTCTCGTCGTGCCATCGCGCAGCTCTTCCAGCTTTCCTCCAGCACGCGTCTGCTCCTTGAAATGAGCACCACATGCAGTCATAGCTTCTGTTCCATATGCAGGTGGGCTTGTGCCCCTGCGCTTAACCAATGCAATGTCAGGGTGATCCAGCCCCGTCTTGCTGTCATCTCTGTCCATGGCCTCCGTCTCAGTCTCACCAGGGTGTTCCAACCCCGTCATAAAGCCTCGCTCACCAGCAGCCGCTAGTCTTTCTTCGGCTTTTCCTTTCCCTTTTTTCCTTTTCCTTTCCCCTTGTCGCTCTTCTCTCCTTCGCTGTTGTCCTTTCCACTGCCCTTCACCCACCAAGACCCGGTTTGGTGGGCCTGTGCTTCCGCCTTCTGCTCGGTCGCCGCAATCTTCAACTCCTGCCTCGAGGATAATGTTGCTGTATCGCTCGGGAGGATTTCCAGGCGCTGTGCTGATGTCCATGGCATGCCACCGGCCTGCGCTTCCAACGACTTCACTCGCTGGATCAGGGTGTCCATGGCGTCCGGCAGAAGGCCCCGGATCACCAAATCGGCCACCGTGCATAGCGTCAGCAGTTCCCGGCTCATCGGTCCAGAAACCCGGCGGCTGAGCATCTGGCGGTAATACCGCAGGAGTGTGGGCGCCCAGCCCTCTTGCTGACTCGTTTGATGGCCACCCTCCGTGAGCATGAGCTCCTGCATGTCCTCGATTGCCTGCGCAGACAACACTCCAGGGAAGTTCAGGGCCACTCCACGCACGCGCTGATGTTCCCCGAATATGGTTTGCCCCTTGAACCCGGCACCATCTCCACTTGTGCTGCTCTTGCTGTCGGCCTTCTTCGATCGGCTCCTCTGGGCATACCTCTGCGCCTTCCGGCGTTGGCGGTTCCGGAGACATCCTCTTCTGATCGACGGGTGTGTAGGCTGTCGAAGAGCTCGTGCTGGACGATGAACTGCTCCTCACAGGGTCCTTCACCCCGTCCCCATCGGCTGCTTTCTTGTCCTTCTCTCCTCCTCTTCTTTTCGAGCGGCTCGAGTGACTTCGCCTTCTCTTCTTGCTGTCCGGCGAACTTGATCTTCTCCGCCGCTTTCGACGCTTTTTCTTCTTGTCCTTTTTCTTGTCCTTCTCCTTGTTGTCCTCCTTGTTGATCTTGCTGGCAGCGGCTCGTCCGTCTCCTGGATCTTCCGGCAGAGCATCCACGCGTCCTCGAAGCCCCGCCAGTTCGTCCCGACCTGCGCCGACGAGCACGTCCCGCCATGGGTGCCCCTCCAGGTCCTCCAGTGACCCGATGGCACGATACTTCTTGCAGTGGATGAGACCAGGTCCCACTGCTTCTTGACTGCACTCGCTGGGGCACAAGTGTACCCTGGCGTGATGAGTAGTGCCCGTTGCCCACGTCAGCAAACTCTCTAAGTTTGTACCGAGGAGCTTCAGGACGATGTACTGCCCGGATGCGTCCCTGACAACTTCTATGACCCGTCCGCTGAACTGACAGGGAGTGCTGTAGTATACCCCCTCTTCTCCATGAATCAGGGGTCCAATCACTGGCTCCCCGCCGCCTACGGGTCCCCTGCCCCGATCTTCCTCGCCTCTCTCGTGCACTGCTGCTGGTCGGAGTGGAGGTCGTAGTCGGGGGACCCCTGCTGGTCGCCTGATCACCTTCGGTGCCATGGCTTTCCTTTCGATGGCCGGCCTTTGCCGCCCTTTCCTTTACCTTTCGACTGGCGTTCTTGCCCTCGGTAAACGTGTGCCCAGCCTTTCCACCGCTTGAGCGGGGCAGGGTCTCTTGCACGATACCCCGGAGGGGAGACCGATGGTGTCCGTGGCCTCCTTGGCAATGGCTTCCTGCTCGATGGCTTCGCTGTCTGCCGCAGCTCGAACTTCTGTGGGTTCCTGATGACTTCGTCGTCCTGACTGCCACCTTTGTCCTCTTCCTCTTCTCCTTCCTCTTCGAACTCCTCTTCAACCTCGAGGCCGATACCAACTGCTACGGCTTGATCCTCGACCACGACAGGGCTTGGACTTCCCCGTGATTGCTTCTTTTCACGCCTCCGGCTGCGAGAACGTCGCCTCCGTCGATGCCTTGAAGTCGAACGAGTGGGTGTTGGCTTTTTGCCTTTACCTGTCTCGTCGCTCTCCTCCTTCACTGCCGTAGATGGTCCTGCTGTAGGGCTGGCTTTTCCAGGGTGAACCCCCGATGCCACAGCCGCCTTTGAAGCACTGTCCACCTCCCGCTTCTCGGTGACCTTCGGACTCTTCTTGTCCTGGATGAGGAAACCTCGTGAGTCGACAATGCCAGCGGTTCGATCCGACTCGAAGGCTCCAATGTCGTGAGGACCTTGGCCAGGTAGGATGTCAGTTCCCTGGCTTTGGAGGTCGGATACCGAGTTGCCACAACCTGCTTTACCTTGCCGCTCAGGTAGCAGGGATCGCACGATCCGGATGTCCCCACCGGCAATTCGAGGCGGCTATGGCAGTCCCTACAGGTCATCTAAAGCCGAAACACTACAGAATAAGACCGAATCGGTGCGTTATTCTTTAATCCCGGGGGCGGGAGACCATATATAAATGATAGAACTGGCGGCATGTAGATCAGTGCCTCGCAATGCACATTGACGAATCTCTGGCTGCACAATTCCAAGGTGTGCTTGATCAAGTTTTGTACAATAAAGTCCTGAAAGGAACATATACAAGCTAATCCTCCAACACCTTTTGGGCAACCACACTTGGACAAGGGCTTGTGTCTAGTCTCGTGTAAGCCACGTAGTGTACCATCGGGCCTACTCCAAGGTCAAACCTTGAGCATGTTCAAAAGCTGAAAACATCGGTTTGCAAGCTACTCCCAACTCAGATTCCTCGGGCATGCTCGTCTCGACATTTAATGGGGTGCACTCGAGCTTCTTGCTGATTCTACCTAGATGGTAGTCAAGTGGGTCAGACTGGATATGAAGCCACTCAGCTCTTGCATCTAATGGGATTGCGGGGGCTATACGCTCTACATGTGTCTCTCTGCGGTGAAAGCTGAAAGGCTTCGTTCAGCACCTGACGAGTAAAAGTAGCGTCCTTGCTCCTAGTAGCGATGCCCTTTGTTCCTAGTAGCTTCTTGCTCCTAGTAGCAATGCCAGGAGCTACTAATAGCGTCGTTGTTCCTAGATCGAATCTACACGCCTCCAATCGAATTTCTAGAGGCTTCGATCTGCAGTCAAGGCGCTGCAGTGAGCGGGCAAAGAGGCACCGGCCCCATGGTTTCGCTGCCAGGAAACTTCATTTTGTTAGTTCGTTGTTAGGAAAAGTATGGTAAAAACTGGTTGAAGGTATAGACCTTCCACTGCCGCATACCTTCCCACGTTTCTCAAGAAAACCCAAAGGCATTGAGTTCTGTTCCGAGTCTTCAAGTTCTAAGATGCCTGGACGGTGCTACCGAAGGCCAGGTACAAAATCTACGCTCGCATCTCTGCTTGGGCTCTTTGGAGCAGCTTGTCCATGTATCACATTTAGTGAGAGCGGGTGCATGAAAAGGACTCACAAATCTGTAATGGTCAAACGTGACAATGCAAAGCTTTTGATTTACAGCTTCGCTATTCCCCAGGAATACACTTTTCAAGAATCGTGGAAAGATCGAACATGTCAGGTAAAACTTGGAGACTCTTGGCCTCCTGGTTGGAGAATCTCATTCAACCCTCCAGAGGAAAACTGCCTGAAACGGAGCATTGCACCTGCACTGGTGTCGGACTTGTAAACTTCTGACGAGCAAGTCCTGACCCATTCGCCCAGCCATCTAGTGGATATAGGGCGCGGACCTTTACCAAAAACTCCGAAAGGTGATTACCAAAGGCCAAACAACACAACCTATGAATCTAATCTGTGAAGTAGCTCATTCTATGTTCTTAGGTACTTGACAAGTCATTCTCGTATCATCCGAGACATGTAGCCTGACATGTTGAGACCAGTGCTTGACCAGCAAAGCGGAAGTCTTGAGATCCTGTGAGGCCAAACAAATAAATACATGTCAGCCAGCCAGTGCTAAATGACGCTCACGCAAAATCGCTGACACATCGACACTGCCCAAACTATCAAAGCTAACACAAAGGAACAAAGCAATCAATGTGGCATTGCCTGACACCTCCAGGCACATGAACAAGTCTATACCTATTTATATAAACATTATTCAAGAGTAATTAAGCCGTCAAGTCAACCTGCACAGCAGCTGTGAAGTGGTGCAAACCGTTGGGAATCTTGCTGAGAAATGTGATCCCAAAGCACAGCACCGGCCCAGCCTACCATCAACTTGGGATGCAACTCGAACTGCGAAGCGATAAACTATTGAAGCGGGTCACAAAGCCAACTGATGCAAGAACCTTCCAGGTCACACGCTACCCCCTGCCTCGGGGACCCTTATCAATATACACTTGCCAAATTCATGCTGCGCAAAAAATACCTCTCCCACCAACATGTTGGGTAAACGGGGGGGGTTAGCCCCGAACGCAACACACCGAGGGTGAAAAACCCTGTGTTTTACAGGGTTTCGTGGCTTTCCGGACACTCAACCTATCGTCTTGCAACTCATGAGTTGCAAGACGATAAGTTGAGTGCGTTTTGACGGACCCAACCCACCCGCCTGCTCCATGTACAGCTTGCCAAGGTTCACTTTCCAGCCGCCAGACATCAGTCTTGTTCCCAATTGAGCCATTTGAGCTCACTGTGCACTTAAGCTGGCGGCCAAGTGTCTTGCACAGCTTCTCTATGTATTCTGACAGCCTCGAGCACTGAGTCCAACCCTGGATGTTGGCGGAACCACAACGCTGCGAGGCCTTCAACGTGCTGTTGTTGCAGCTTTGCATCGCAACGGCCAAGAAAACCCATTCTACGCAGTGTTAAAACACACCTCGAAGTCGACCCCGTCATGTCCTCTAAGCCAAGAAAAGCGGTCACCGAGCGAACGAAAGGTCACCGAGCCGACAAGTCAACGTCAAGTCGATGTACGCGAGTAGTAACACGGACGAAACTGACCCCAACCCCCCCCAACCCCCCACCTTGAAAGACCAGTCAACGGATCGGATATGTGTTGCCGGTGGGGCTAACCCCCCGCGATGGCACAACATGTTGCACCGGTTCTTGCTGACTGACTCTTCCAGTTTGCTGAGCCGTTGCAGTTTTGTTCAGTCAGATGCAGGCAACGTGCATGTGCTTCAACAGACTGGAGAGAGAGAGAGAGAGAGAGTTTTCTTCAAGTGGGCAAAGGCAGAAATAGCATCTGGTAAAACAACTCTATCTACGGAGCTGGCTTCAAGAGAAGCAGTAGTTTTACTTTTTTGTAGGTACAAGGCATTGCAGGAATCCTGCATGGTTGCGTGTATACATAAATACTGTCTGTATCGCGCTTTCACAAGTAGGTGCCCCCCCAAGAGGGCTGATGCAAAAAAGAGAGCAGCCTTCAGCCAACGCAATGTGTCTGCATTGGTCCTGTTGAAATTACGCCCACACCGAAGGTGCTGAGGCGTTGTCTCAGTTCGCGTAAACCGCTATAATTGCTAGATCGCTCATTACACTTTAGCTTGGGGGGGAAGGTTTTTGATGAACTACACCGACATAGATAGGCCCCAGATAGCGGGTGTATAGGTTTAACAGATACGCCACGGACGGCTGTCACCGCAGCGCGCAACATCAAACCAGTCCACCAGTATGCGCAACATCTAAATAATTATCGGCTGAATGCGCCCGCTTTGCCCAACACAGACGTAAAACTGAAAGATCGGCAAGGACCAGCCAAAGCTGCCAAGACATGATGATCATTGCTGCTCAACACGGTGTCATGTACAACATGACAGCATGTCACCCCTGGCATGACATGATGTCGTCCCTGGCAACACATGACGTCATACCTGGCATTCTAGGCATGGCGTGATGTCAACTCAGCCATGACACGCTGTCATCCTCGACATGACATGATGTCATCCCTGGCACGACCCCATCTCATCATGGTGTCATCCCTGGCGTGACACGATGTCATCCTTGGCATGATGTGATGTCATCCCTGGCACGACGCAAAACCAAACGCCGATCCAGAGCCAGCGCCTGCACCAGCACGGCACCAGCACCAGCAAAACAAATCGCCAATCCAGCGCCAGCGTCAGCGCGGCAGCAGCGCCAGCAAACCAAAACGCCCATCCGGAGCCAGCACGGCAGCAGCACCTTGAAAACCAAAACGCCGATCCAGAGCCAGCACCTGCAAAACCAAAACGCCGATCCAGAGCCAGCACCTGCACCTGCATCATCACGGCAGCAGCACCCGCAAAAAAACAAAACGCCGAGACCCAGAGCCACACTATTGAGAAGTTGGAACCCCTATAGCCTGCAGCTATCTGGTGAAAAACGAGCAAGTCATTGGCGATGTTAGTTGCGCTGCCCGAGTGAGAATGCACTATTGACATCACGTGCGCTTGCCCTGTAGCTTTCTGAATGATAAACGAGAAAACTGTTGATAATGTTAGTCACGCTGCCTGAATTGCATTGCATTATTGAAAGCGTGCGCGCGTTTGCACTGATTGAGTACAAAACGCCCTAAGACGCAACGTCGGGTAATAGGGGGATGCATCCATCACCAAGTTGCTTGTCGTGGGGTGTGTTTTTGGTGTCTAAAGACTATGTTTTTGTCAAATAGTAAGAGCTACCAAGATTGTGAAATTTCGCCGCTTCGGAACCTTTTGGCTTTCCCGGCTCAAGTGCTTTCCGTGCGGGCGAAGAGCGAAGTGGTGTGAATATATGTCTTCACATACAGTGAAAGAGCTATTACCTAACAAAGCACAATCTCAGTGGATCTGATCACTTGATGGCAAGGCGCGCTTCTATCCGAAGAGGATTTGTATTTTTTGAGGGAAATGTCTTCTCAGGCCACGTGGGTGAAACTAAGCAAGCAGGGCCTGTGTTTGGCAAAGTTATATGCACATAACCAGCCAAGGTCTGCTTCTTGTTGGCAGTGATGAAGTTCGGAGACTTACTCCAATGTTTGGACAAGCCGATCGAGCTGAGTATCTCTTGTCTCGAAGCACAAGGCTGTGTCGAACAAAGCGCTTCAACTGTCTCCGAACCTGATCCAAGGTTTGGGCACTGCTGAACTTCTTTGTTTTTTCCCCAGATAGCTGGAAGCTATAGGGGTTCTAACTTCTCAATGGATGGGTTGGGGATTGCGGAAATTGGCTGCCGCTGCCGCCTTGTTTCCCAAGCTTGTCTCCCTTCACGATTTCGCTTTTGGCTGCCGCTGCCGCCTTGTCTCTCAAGCTTGTCTCCCTTCATAACTTCGCTCTTGGCTGCTGCTGCCGGCTTGTCTCCCAAGCTTGTCTCCCTTCATCATTTCGCTCTTGGCTGCCGCTGCCGGCTTGTCTCCCAAGCTTGTCTCCATTCATGATTTCGCTTTTGGCTGCCGCTGCCGCCTTGTCTCCCAAGCTTGTCTCCCTTCCTGATTTCGCTCTTGGCTGCCGCTGCCGCCGTGTTTCCCAAGCTTGTCTCTGTTCCTGATTTCGCTCTTGGCTGCCGCTGCCACCTTGTCATTTTCTTGCCTGCCTTTGACGCGGATGCTGTTATAAGATGAGTTTTGTCTTGTTTACCCTTTTCATCCTTTTCCTGGCTTTGAGTGGGATGTCTCCCAAGCTTGTCTCCCGCTCACGCCATGGTGTCCAACTTTTCTTGAAGTGCTATCTGGGGTCTATGCCGGTATTATTTTTTTAAGGGAGGGGTAGCTAGAAGCTAGGTAGCTAGTAGCTTAAGCAGCTACTGCAGGATAGCTCACACACTATACAATTGGTTCCAAGATATTTTCTTTCCTACAACTACATCAATACATCATTTGCCAACGCAGTGTGCATGTCGCATCATCCAGGATGCGCTTCGAATCGAGCGTCATTATCCCGCCCCACAACCCCCCCACCCCAAAATCCCCCATCTTCCAACGTGTTTGCGTACTTGTAGCATTATCTTGGAGATAGACCACCCCGAAAGAAATCTCCACCCGAAGCCATGCGCTGATTACCCACTCCCACAACACAGCATTGTCGGACAATGCTCCTGGGATGCCAAAGAAATTCATAATTGCTTCAAAAGATTTGACACAACGTCATAATTGCTTGCGCCAACTCAATGCAATTAGCCCCCGCCCAACCCCAGCCGCAACGCAGTCAATCACCCGATGGCAACGCAACCGAAACCTTCGGGAGTTTTCCAATCAAACCATGATTTGTCATCCTACCATCTGGTGACTAACAGCACAAGTAGCTCAAACAGCAGGTT